GAGTCTGGTCTGCTCGAGTACACTCGTCCTATAGTCAGCAAACGGATAACTCGCCTACACCATAGGTGACGCAAGTTGGCAAAAACTAATCGAGACTTCTGTATCCGTGCTGAGATTTCGTCATTCACCAGGCCATCAGCACTGATGAGACTCCCAAGATAAGTGGAGCGATCAACACGCTCTACTACTTCACTCCCTATCACTATTTCAGGTGCCGATGCAACCCAATCGTGAAGCAACATTTTGCATTTCGAGGAGGAAAACTGCATCCCGAACATGCTTGCATTGTTGCTTAGGGTAGTCAGAAGACTCTGCATTTTGTCAGCGTCTTCAACAAGCATCTGTCCTGTTAGAAGGTCCACCCCTGAAAATTCAGACGAGGATAATGTTAACTCTAAAAGCATGTCTATGACAAAGTTAAACATGAATGGAGAGAGTGGACATCCCTGACGGACACCACTTGAAGTGAGGAATTCCGATGACTGTTCGCCATAAGTTCTCACTCGACCAGTGGTGTTCGAGTAGAGAGAGCTTGTATAAGGTTAATGTACTTCTTTGGTACACCTTTTAATGATAGACACTGCCACAGAGTCGAATGCCGCCTTATGGTCCAGGAAAACAACTATTGTCGGACGCCTAAATATATGCCTGTGTTCTAGGACCTGTCTTAGTGTGAAAATATGGTCTATACATCCATGTCCAGGTCGAAAACCAGCTTGGTTTTCTCTAGTCTACTCTTCACGTGCTCTAGTTAAGCGTCTAAGTATAATCAAAGCTAATAATTTTGGACTTAATGGTGTCCTAACACTTTTAATGTAATATATACCATATTATCCTCATGTTTATTTGCTAAAAAGTTATAAAACTGTTTTTTCTTGCTCATGTTATTAATACATTTATCCTGTATTTTTTCGGTTTTTTTCTGCTCTGTACAGTATTATTTCTGCTCTGCTACGTTATTCACCACCGGAAACATTTAAATCACGTGTTTTGGCGAAATTCGTAGAAAATGATCATGAAAAAGTGGATCGTCTAATTGAATTACATTTAAAATATTTAGATATTGTTAAAGCAACTAATCATAAAGTTGAATTAATGCGTAAGGTAAGTAAGTAGTGTTGATGATGATTTGTGACGAGTGTACTTACTGTGCACCAGTTCGGCTTTGTCCTACTATACGGATATGTAAAGTAGAAGATGTTCATAGGTTACTAGTGTTCGATCATCGATGTCTCCGAAGCATTGCTCGTGTATCGTAGGACAACCGAGTGAGCAATGCTATCATTATAAAACGAGTTCTAGGTAAGGATGGTAGATCAATAGATGAAGTGGTGAAGCTTTATCAGTTGAGGTGGTTGGGACAGATGTTACGAATGCCAACACACACAGCGACATAATTCTCAACTACGGTAGCAATAACCCAAGAACTCACAAAATCAACTGTTTAAAGACATTGTTCAAGAGAGCGAAGACACGCTGCAGCACACATGAGGCACTAAAAAACGAGGAAAAACACCTGATGACGACTATCTTCCAAAAGAACGGCTATCCACGCAACTTCATCAAAACGTATCAACCAAAACAGTCAACAGAACCGAAATCAAGTACAGAAACCAATAAACGGATCATCCTACCATACATAAAAGACGTATCGGAGCATACAGTACGACTACTGAAACCATTTGGAATAGGTATAGCACACAAACCAACAGAATCACTTCAATCAATCCGATGTAGACCAAAAGGACAAAATGACAAAGGAAGAAAAACCAAATATCCCATCTACAAAATAAATTGCTCAGATTTTGAAAAACACTACCTAGGACAAAGTGGACGGCCTCTTCAGCTTCGTTCACGTGAACACCAATTAGCAGTCAAACGGCACGACAGTTCTTCGCTTATATCAATACACACACTGACAATTATAGACATACGTTCGATTGGAACAATGTGGAAATATCGGATACGGGAAGCGGAAAAAACACAAGAGAATTTTTAGGAGCTTGGCACTCAGGTCAACCAACAAACACATCGACATTGATCCAATCTATCAACTAATCAGAAAAATCATGGTTGACATAGGATCAAGAAACAGATCAAAAGGGGGGTGCAATCAAAACAAAATTGCAAACAACGACAGGTTTAAGGTCAACAACAACCAGTCAAGATTGAGGTTAGCAGAACAAGCTACAGGTCAAACGTGGAGAAATTTGAATGCTTCACTTCTGCTATCTGAAGTTTGTGCTGATGATGTTGTTCAGCAGAAGAATAATGAAAGCTCCACAACCAAAACAACCCACTCAGAGAACGAAGCACCACCACAATCATCCACCTGAGCTACAAGTTTTCTCCACCATCTCGAAAGCTAGGGGCGGCCAGATCAAAGCATGGCACATGAAAAGTGGGCTGAGTCATGTTGGTAGATGTAGACTACCTGGTTATGGTCTGCGAGACGAAAGTCACCAATGGTTAGAGACCTTGGATAACATAGCTCAGGATCGTTTGCAATGGCGCAGGTGCATCCACTCTTTGTGTTCTCTCAAACTCTAACCTTCTGAATTCCTTATTAATCTCTATCTTTCTCCTTCTAAATTTATCTCACTGAATTATACTTCTCGAATCATATCTTCGCTCCTTAATCTTCTCCATTACTGCTAATACTTCTACTATCACTATCACTCTTGGATTTGAACTGACAGTTGCATCTCTGTGCTGATATGGGGCACGGCAACCTGAACTGATATACTTACGTACGTACGAAGTTCTGCGTTGTATTTGTCTGTCTGTCTGTTATACCGTTAATTGTTGTTTATTTATCCATGATTCTTCATCAATACACTCAATATGCTCAATAGTCATTTTCAGTTATAACTATTGAATTACTTACTTAAGCTTGTTACCCTCGAATGGGGCATAGGCCACTGACCTGCTTTCACTAAACCGACTCTGTCATGGGGCTTGCTTTTCAGTTCTTGTCCATTCTTCTTATGTCTGTCTCCATCGTTCGCCGTAATGTGTCTCTTGGTCTTCTTCTTCTCCTTTGTCCTTGAGGGTTCCAAGTTAAAGCTTCGCCTCGTGGAGCAGTCGGATGCTTTCTTCTGCTGGAATATGATTTGTTCTCTTCCATAGTAAGTTCTTGCGGATGGTGTTAAGCCAACAGATCTATGGGATCTTGCGTAGACAGCTGTTGCATCGTAGAAATGCTGCCGTTGCTTTGGTAATCTATGTTTTCATATATGCATCAAACGTAACCTTGTTTATTAGTAGTGATGTTGTCCAGGTTTTTAAAGGTTTCCACATCTTCCAAAACTTCTCTGTCAAGTGTGATTTGGGTCGGTGCATATTGTGTTGTATTGGAGAATCTTGTTTTTCCTTTTGTGTATGTTGAGACCCCCTGCTTCAGAGGCTACTGTTACACTGGTCGTTTTCTTCTGAATCTGTTGTTTCGTATGGGATAGAAGAGCTAAATCATCTGTGGAGTTCAAATCGTCTAGCTGCATCTGAGCTGTCCACTGTATTCTGTGCTTCTCCCCAAATGTTGACTTCTTCATAATCCAGTCGATGACCAGGAGAAAGAGAAAGGGTGACAGTAAGCAACTTTGCCTGACACCGGTCTTTCTTTCGAACGAGTCTGTGAGCTGTCCTCCGTGTATGATTTCGCAGTTCGATCTATCGTAAAAGTTCCGCATGATGTTCACTATCTTCTCAGGCACTCCTTAGTGTCGAAGTAGCCTTTAAAGTGTTGTCCTGTCTACGCTATCAAATGTTTTCACATAGTCAATAAAGTTGATGTAGAGTGGTGAATTCCATTTATTGGATTGTTCTACAATGATCCAGGATTTTGCAATTTGGTCAGTACACGATCGATCCTAATGTAATCCTGCCTGCTTAGCGTTTTCTAGCGAGTTATTTTTCTACGGGATGGGGTCGCTAACCACATGCCCAACCCTCCTCTATTATCCAGGCTTTGGACCGACGGTGGCCCCAACGTTAGACCACTATTAGAAACCTAGAAGCATTAGACAGCGGTTTCTTCCTCGTATGGGAACAATAGAGCTCAACTCTGTCCAGGTGTAAAGTAGTGCTCACCAAAGATAGTGGATGAGGTTGCACAACACCGTGGGTTGATTGAAGTTAGACAATTAATTACACTGTCGGATGCCAGCTTAGTGGTCCAGAGGTTAAGCGTTCGCGCACAAGCCTGAAAGTCCTGGGTTCGATTCCAGCGGATACACACTGCCGTTGGGTCTCACACTAAGATGAGAGGACCGTCCAGTGCTTCCATGTTCCTACTGGTGATCTAACATTGAGCGATTTATGATTTCAAACGAACTTTGATTATCGGAATAAAGTTTGTGAAACTCTTTCTGCCTTGAATCAAGTTGTAATAACCTTTTACACCTGCTTAAACAAAAAATTCTTCTCATTCTTCTCATTATTACTATAGAATGAGAAAAAATGGATTGGTTATACACGTGAAGAAATAGAAATGGAATTAATGCTTAAACGTTTAGAAGGTGGACTGTTGCCATTACAAGTTTTAGATGTGATTATTCTTGATGTTTGTGTAAATGGTGCACCGACGGTGAGTACTAATTTTCTTTCTTTTTTGTGTATTTTTTTAAAACTACTTATAAATATATTTAGTAGTATGTATTGTATGCTGAAAAAAATGTAATTTTGTGAAAGTTACTTATATGAAAGTGCTTCGTTATTGTCAAAAGTTGTTTCTAACCGGTGGTTGATCAATAATTCATAATGTGAATTATCCTTGACAGTTTTATCTCTGCACTAATGTGGTATGGTAGCTGGACCTGATCTACGGGCAAGCCGACCGACTGCATACCTGGAATCGTTGACCATAACAGACAGGTCTTATTCCACAAGACAGTGAAATGACGTTAAGCGATCCACTCCCATGATATAATCAGTGACAAACAGTAGGTGTATGCACCATTTTTTTCATCAGAATCCCCTAGCTGATGAGTGTTTTCCAACTGCCTTAATGGAATCGTACGTACTTACCAATCCGGTTTAATCATCGTAATTGGTTGTTCATTCTCCTCTCATATTTGTAAACACCATGTTCGTCACAAAAATAAAGTGGGTCGGACTTTCCTGACGGTTGGTTATATACATGTGGACACATGAGATGTTTTCGAGAGAGTGAATAGACCCTTACAACCTTTGGTCGTACCAGAGCATTCGGGAACAAGGCGGTGCGCTTAGTTAAGAGTAAAAACGTAGATCCAGGTTCTAAATGATCAGTCAATTGTCAAATGCCTTCATCACATCCATAACTATGCATTGAATCAAGTCAAGTACTCTGTCACATACAATCTGTATACACTATCAAAAGTAGAGCATGTACTGCTGCTGCTTCCCGACCGATGCTGATATCTTGACGTGGTGGTCGGGCTTGCCTATCGTGATGACCCAGCTGAGCTATATTGGCTGGAACTCATGTTCCTGAAGGTTCTTCCATGCCACGCAGGTCGATTGGAGAACGATAAGACTAAAAACAGCCACTCAAGGTCTGAGGGCGAAGTCGTATTGCTGACTGCAGACGGGTATGACAGCAGTAAGATGTTTCCCTCGGACAACCAGCATCTGCAGCCATGCTGCCTTCTCACAAGGAAAGAAGGGTTTCCGTCTCCGTCGGTAAGGGTGCCCACTAAGGGCTTTCAAGAGCGGAGCTACTACTCAAAAATCCTCTCATAAAAAGGCCGTGCGTGACCGGCCTCAATCAGTTGTCCCTTTGGCTCTGCGGTCACGCACCAACACTAATCCATCTTCCTTTTCAGGTCCCTCAAGAAACAACCTTTCACGGTGTGAGCAACCGGTTCGTGACAACCTCCCTCATACCCGTAACAACACACGAGACCAAATCGGTCAAAATCAAATCATTCCTACACCCCTCCCCGTAATTAAGCCTGATCACAATGTCATATCCACTGTTTAGTTGGATAGTTGGTATTTTTTCAAAAAATCGATTCTAAGCATTTTAAGAATTAAATGTTATTAATTATCACTTAAGTTGACCATAACCTGCCACAGCGATTTCAAGTTCAAGCCGTAAAAACCACCATCAAGCGTTATCTTAATTATCATAGGTTTATTCAAGGACGTCCGTTTGCTGACTAAAGGACGAGTGTACTGTGCAGTAGTTCGCTCTGTCTTACTTTATGGCTGTGAAACATGGCCAATGAGAGTAGAAGATATTCGTAGGTTACTGGTTTTCGATCATAGGTGTCTTCGAAGCATTGCTCGTATATCGTGGGACACCCGAGTGAGCAACGCTGTTATTAGGAAACGGGTGCTAGGTAAGAATGGCAGATCAATAGATGAAGTGATGAAACTTCATCATTTGAGATGGTTAGGCCATGTGTAAATCATGCCTTACCACCGACTGCCTCGTCGAGCTTTGTTTTGTAGTGTAGGAATAGGTTGGAATAAATCTAGGGGCGGCCAAACCAAAACATGGCACTAATCCATGAAGTTCTTGAAGAGTGGACTGAGCCATGTCGGTTTTTGTCGACTATCTGGTTGGGGTCCGCGAGATGATGATAATCGATGGTTAGATACCCAGAATGATAGGCTCGAAATCGTTTGCAATGGCGCCGGTGCATATATTGTTTGTGTTCTCTCAAATCCTAATCTTTTGGATTCTTCAACCCCTCTAGTTTTGACTTTCTAACCTTATCTCACCAAATCATACTTCTTGAATAATATCTTCTAATCCTAACTTCTCCGATTACTTCTAATACCTTAACTACCTCTTCTACTATTGGATTTGAATTGACAATTACATCTCTGTGCTAATGTGGTATGGCAACATGAACTGATGTACTTATGTACAAAGTTTTACGTTGCATCTGACTGACTGACTGACAAGCACGTCAGTATTTCGTCGAACATTTTTTACTTGATGACTTCGTTTTTTTGCTGGGGAAAATTGAAACACTCACATCGCATTTGATTTAACTAGAAAACGAAAAAAAAAACTGCTTTCAATTTTTTCTTTCCTTGACATGAATATATATTTTATCATTATTGTATTCTGTCTAATTATTCTATATCCGATAATTTATTACAAAACAGATTTTAGAACGTGTACTACATCTATTGAAAATGCGATCAATATCTGTGAATTCTGTACTTCAAACAGTTCAAGGTGTGTGTGTTAATCTTTTGAATAATTTCTGTTGTTATTATTGTTATTATGACTTCTTGAAGTGACTATTCGTGAATTGCCGTCTGAAAGTTTACTCAACTACATATGTGTTTTTGGGACGTTAGATTCCCAGCACTCACTCACTCCTAATTTCGGATTTGTTTATGCTTTCGCGCATGGGCTGATCAGTTGACCTTGATATTACATTCCTCACCTCGGTAGTCCTTGACTGTCATTGGTTGATGGATTATTTTAGTACGCTGTTTTTATGGCTCTCCCAAGGACACTTCTATGATGTATAATTAAACTCGATTTGTGTGATTTTCTACCTCATATTTTCTGGGTGCTTGTAGAATACACTTTTTACGTGTTGTCAAAACTTCTACTTAGTGGGGCCCTGGGACGTTCGGATTAGAGTAGCCTATCATGTTACTAGATCATTTGTGTTCGCTCTCGTTTACTGACTAAGGTGAACTTGTAATAGCATTCAAGCATATAAATTGATGAGCTTACAACTTATACACTTAGGTCGTCTCATAAAACAGTATCGTGTCGCTGAATCGTTGATCCTCGTTCCGTTTGTCGAATAAGTTGAACTCACCATAGTTTCAAGTATATCAGTTTTCCCACTGCCGACGAGTACTATACTAAGACAGAATGGCTGCCTGACAGACACTAACATGGTTTTGTCACTAAATGTCAACAAACCTTCTAAGAAAACGATGATAATTAAACATAGAAGGTCGCTTAAAATCTTCATACTTGGAGAGGCCAAGTTTCACAACCATCGAAAAAAACTGCTCTCAACAACCCCATTGTAAACTTGATCTTTAACGGTCATACTTCACGATAGCCCTAAAAATAGATCTATATAAAGTGAGGTCATAGGACAACTGGAGTGAGCCATGTTGTTAATTGTAGACTATCAGGTTGGAGTTCGCGAGACAATAGTAACCGATGGTTAGAGACGTTGAATAACATGGCTCGAAATCGGTTGCAATGGCTCAGGCGCATCCATTGTCTTTGTCTTTTCTCAAACTCTAATCTTCTGAATTCTTCATCACCTTTATCTTTTTCTTTTTAAGTTTATTTCACTGAATTATACTTCTCGAATAGTATTTTCGAAACCTAATCTTTTCTATTACAGCTAAGACTTCTACTACCTTTGCCAATATGCGATTTGAATAGATAATTCGATCTCTTTGTTTGCTAGTGTGATAGTATGGCAACTTGAATATTGATGTACGTACATGTATTTAGTTCTATACATGAATGTTTACTGTTTGACTGAGGTAATGAGTTTATCGTTACACCACTGTTACTGATTCACAGATTAGTCCTATCAATTGGGATATAGGAGACAAAATAGCTAGTTCTTTGTTGAGTATTCTGTAGTGGGTAGTTGGGACATGTGTTACGAATGCCCAACCATCTAATGCCTCGAAGAGCTATGTTTTGTGGTTTAGGAGTAAGTTGGAAGAAAGCTAGGGGTGGCCAGATCAAAACATGGCAGAAATCCATGAAATTACTGACAAGTGGACTGAGTCATGTCTGTAGATGTAGACTACCTGGTTGGGGCCAGTGAGACGAAAGTCACCGATTGTTGTGAGACCGTTGAACGACATGGCTCAAAATCGTTTGCAATGTCGCACCACTCTTGGATTTGAACTGGCATTTGCGTCTCTGTGCTAATACAGTATGTCAACCTGAAGTGATGTACTTACCTACGAAGTTCTACATTGCAATTGACGGACTGACCATAGTAGCTAATAAACATATATATATATATATATATTATTGCACAATACACTTGTTATTATTTTTATTTACAAAAATAATCAATCTTTTTTCTCCTTATTCTTTTCAGAATATGTCAATAATTTAGGTGATGACTCGACTACTACTACTACTACTACCAGTAGTAGTAGTACAACATTATCAGAGAAAACTCGAGTTACAGATTTGTTAAAGCGTTTTAAAGAAATGTGTTAACCAGTGAACAACAATATTGGGATAATCATACAGTTGTTTCTTTTGTATTTCCCTCCCCCTCCCTATTTTTCATTACATTTACACATATGTTGGATATATAATTTTGCACTGATCATTGAACAATTGTCAATGTTGTACAATCACAAATATATTATATATATATTTATATATATATACATTCGTAGTTTTTATTTAAACAATCAGTCAGTCAGTCAGTCAGTTGCAACGTAGAACTACGTACGTATGTACCATAAGTTCATGTTGCCATACCACATTAACACAGAGACGCAAATGTCAAATCAAATCCCATAGTGATAAAGATAGTGAAGGGAATTAATTGTAATGAAGAAGACTAGGGGGGTTTGAAGATATTATTCAAGACGTATAATTCAGTGAGATAAGGTTAGAAAGACAAAGGTAGAGGTGCTGACGAATACAGATGATTAGGATTTGAGAGAGCTCAACGAATGGATGCACTTGCGCCATTGCAAACGATTTTGAGCCATGTCATTCAAGGTCTCTAACCATTGGTGACTATCGTCTCGCGGACCCCAACCAGGTGGTAGTCTACATCTACCAACATAACTCAGTCCACTTGTCAGTGACTTCATGGATTTGTGCCATGTTTTGGTTTGGCCACCCCTAACTTTCTCCCAACCTACTCCTACACCACAAAACATAGCTCGTCGAGGTAGTCGGTGGTTAGGCATACGTAACACATGTCCCAACCACCTCAACTGATGAAGTTTCAGCACTTCATCTATTGATCTGCCATCCGTACCTAGCGCCCGTTTCCTAACGACAGAGTTGCTCACTCGGTTGTCCCACGATATACGAGCAATGCTTCGAACACACCTATGATCGAATACTAGTAACCTTACGAACATTTTCTACTCTTAACGGTTATGTTTCACAGCCATCTAGGAGAACGGAGCGAACTGCTGCGCAGTATACCCGTCCTTTGGTTAGCGAACGGATATCTCGCCTACGCCATAAGTGACGTGAGTTGGCAAAAGAAAATCGAGCCTTCTGTATCCGAGCTGAGATTTCGTCAGTCACCAGGCTATCAGCGCTGATGGGACTCCGCAGATAATTGAAGCGGTCAACACGTTCGGTTACTTCACTCCCTATCACTAGTTCAGGTGCCGATGCAACCCAATCGTGAAGCAACATTTTGCATTTCGAGGGGGAAAACCGCATCCCGAACATGCTCGCATTGTTGCTTATGGTAGTCAGAAGACTCTGCATTTTGTCAGCGTCTTCGCCGAATAGAACTGTCATCGGCATATTCTAGATCAGTAAGCGACTTTCCTGGTAGAAGGTCAACCCCTGAAAAATCTGACTAGCGTAATGTTAACTCTAAGAGGATGTCTACGACAAAGTCAATCGTCACTTGACCATTGGTTAGACACCACCAGCTTCAGAAACCTGTCAGCAATGAATGTCCCTTTTTGTCCTGGTATAGGGGTACTCATCAGTGGTAGTATGCATCTATGACTCCTGTAAGTCATGGGATTCGAACCCTGGGCATTCGATCTTGTGCGTGGTCAGCTAACCTCTGGACCACTGAGTTATAGTGTATCTCATGGTGCTGATGTCTAACTTCGATCAAGCTTGTTTGTGTATGAAGCGGCGTTCACTGAAGACAGTGGAAAAGGTTGTGCAAGACCGTGGATTGACCACAAATTTAAAGTTTTTCCAAACAATCAGTTCTTGTTTAATCAATTTTTCACAGGACAATGCGAAGATGTAGTTGATTTGAGGACAAAAAATGTTGTCGATGTATTTGACGTAACTCACATACGTTTCAAAGGGATATACTACCCCCTTACTCAGGTTTCATACGTCCAACCGACTCTACCTTAAGTCTTCTTCATTTCTATCCCATTGCTGATCGTTCTTTTCATGTCTACTTCCAATAGTCTGCACAATGTTCTTTGATCTTGAGGATTCCAAGTTAGAACTTGTTTCGTGATGCATTTGAATGATTCCTTCAGTGTGCTTCCTATCAACTTCCAGAAAATTTTTAGATAGTTTCTTGCTCAGTTGGAATCTGGCTTTTTTTTTAAATCCCCTAGTAGGTTTTTTTACTGATGGTGTTATGCTAACAGATCTGCAGTATCTCGCGTAGACAATTGTTGATAAACACTTGTATGTTTTCGATGATGGCTTTGGCAGTTCTCAAAGTTTCCAGGCTATATAATGTAACTGTGTTGACGTTTGTATCGAAGATTGTGACTTTTGTGTTAGTAGACAGTTGTTGCGGGTTCCTTTTATGTTCCGTAGATATGGTTTCTCCCGTCGCCACTTTTATGTTTTTCTACTTGATGTAACGCCAAACCACTGTACTAATGACACCCGAACGTTAGACCCCTCCGTTCAAAAATAAGAAGACGGAAGACGTTGGAGAACGCTTATTGTCAGAATCAAAAATATACAATCAAACATGCGTATTTATACAATTATATAAATGTCATTAAATATTTTGAACATGAATCAAATAGTTCATCATGAACCAAATAGTTTATCATAAACATTAATCAAATAGTTTATCAATCCACAATGTGCGTGGCTTTCTTCTCGATTGGCTATCCCAACAGTTCCAGATGTCAATTTATCGTGGGAATTTCGCTATCAATTTGTAATCTGTGTTTTCACACTTACATCTGATCCACCTTGTTAATATCAACGATATCCAGATATCTAAAGGTTTCCACATCTTCCAAAAACTTCTCCGTCAAGTGTGATTTAGGTTGGTGATGCATGTTGTATTGTATCATATCATGTCGGTAAGTGTCGACTACTTGGTTGGGGTCCGCGAGATGTTAATAATCGATGGTTAGAGACCCCGAATGACATGGCTCGAAACCGTTTGCAATGGCGCAGGTGCATTCATTCTTTGTGTTCTCTCAAATCCTAATCTTCTGAATTCGTCAACACCTCTAGTTTTGTTTTTCTAAACTTCTCTCACTGAATCATACTTCTTGAATAATATCTTGAATAATATCTTCTAATCCTAACCTCTCTGATTACTTCTAATACCTTCTACTACCTCTACTACTACTATTGGATTTGAATTGACAATTATATCTCTGTGTGCTGATGTGGTATGTGGCAACATGAACTGATGTACTTACGTACAAAGTTCTTACGTTGTATCTGACTGACTGACTGACTGCAAACAAACTGGTTACATATAATTCCAGCTTCATTTCGAATCATACAATCTGTTGTAATTTAAGTCTTATTGACATTTTTAAAATAGTAGAATCACGACGAATTACACATATGACATAAGCACAAAAAACTCACAACTATATAAATATGTACTTGTGGTAAATAAATTATTAATTTAATTAATCTTAATTAAAAAAACTGACATTCTTTATTTTCACGAGAAAAAATTAAAATTGAATTTTCCAAACATTGTAAAAATAACAGGTGTGTTTTTTCGTGCATTCAAACAAATGTAGCTTCTTAGCTTTAAATAAACAAAAACAACGCGAAATATTTCAATGTTCAATAAAGATATATGAATATATATTGATTAGTTGGTAGATCATCGTAGCACCACATCTTGATTTGATGTAGTAAATACACACATGTGTGTGTTGATACATACATACATACCTACTAAAAGTTATACTCATTCAAGAAGTTTATTCTTGTACTGTTTTCACTGTGTGTGTGTCTGTGTTTATCTGTGTGCATACGTCCTTGAATGTGTTGCGTGTGTGTGTACGCACTCATTGGATTTACAGGGGGTATCTAATTGTATTTATGCCTGTTATTTTAATGATTGATGAACGATTGTTGGTTAAGTTCGAATACCATCGTATCAACTTCGGCTTTAATTTTTATGGGAGACTGAGAGTAATATCGTCAGTGAGATATGTAGTTGGGTTCGAGTGACTCGATATTATTAAGTACACAATTAGGTAGTTAATAGCATGTAGTTGTGTTTTAGGAAGGGAACTACTATTCAGTAGTGTATGCTAATGAGTTTGATTGACATTTTCCAACTCGCTTTAGATGGATCGTCCGTACTGACCAATCTAATTTAAATCCTCACCGGATATTTTGTAGTGAGTCATCATTCAATGTCTAGCTCACATGACTTGTCCCACTTGTCTTTTTACCTTGCCACTTATTCGTCGCTTGTATTCATGTGTGTGCAGCCTGTCTCGTTGATCACATGTCTGTCTTATTTTTGTCTGACTATATATTCTTAGTCACGCTCTACCTCTAGGAGTTGGCTCAACAGCCTTCTCCAGTTCACATCGCTTCATCTCTTTTATTCACTGCTTCTTCACTTCGCTTTGTGGTGTGTCCCAAACAAACGTATTCATTACTATGAGTTCATTTTCTGATATGTAACCGTCAGATGCTACTTTGTAACGATTGTCTAGACGAGCTAATTACCGATCTTTAGAACTCGCAGTAAATCGACACACACCACTAGAGTAGTGAGTTTGTAGTGAAGGAGAACACTGGTGAAGGCAACCGAATTGTATTTATCTCAAATTACAGAGTTACTCAGTAAAATAGGAAAACCATATCGTAAACGGTTAATTTGCAAATCTTCAATCTATCATCAATCCATTGTCTAACATTTCACTATTCATGCATTTCATACAAATTCCATTGTATTCCCACTCTTCCTTTCTTGATGTTCCCCCATCTTCTGCTGCCAGACATTACGTTGACACTCACGTCATATACTACTTATAAGTAGCGCGCACCACAAGTTTACTAGACGATACATATGGTTGCATGTTAGAAAACATGTTCATATAATTCTGTCCAAGTGATCAGTTCATGTCAAGTAGCCCTTGGAGAAGTGCATACAATAATCATAATTAGGCTTGTCGTGGAATCGATCAAAAACCTACAAATAGTTAGTGAGTCGGTTGAAATTTGTATTACGTATGCTTTGATGCACAATGGAGTAACAATGACAGTACCTTCTGTCTGACACTTGTTATATACGTATGGGCTAATGAGTGGGTATCAAGAGAGAGAGCAAGCGTTAAACAAAATCTTAGGTAAGATAATTGATAATACTGAACTCAAGCTTTTATTCCTTATATTACAGTTCAGAAGTGATATAATCGGAACAATAGTAATTTAGTATATAAGGTGAGTGGCAGAACGTACATTCAGCATTTAGTCTATATATTTCTTTAACGAGTCAATCATGAATTCACCAATTAAGATTTAGTTACTTAGTTCAGCTACCTACAGTATAGGATTGTAGAGATCGTGAATCGATCAATATTAGACCACCATTAGAAACCTTGAATCACTGAACTGCCATTTCGTCCTGTTATGGGACTAATCAGTAATGCGAAAGCCACGACTCCTGCATACCGCGTGATGCGAACCCGGGGCTTTCGGTCTTAGGCGTAATCCCTTAACTTCTGGACCACTGAGCCGGCATCCAACGGTGTTAATGTCTAACTCTAGTTAATCTAGAGAGTTTGTAAGCGAAGATGATCAGCGTAGCAGCAGCAGCCTCTTCAGCAGTAGATTTCAACATAAACAAATTAAAGAACAAGATTCTCAGAGACAATACAACATGCATCAACCAAATCACAATTCACGGATAAGCTTTGGCAGATGTTGAAACCTTTACATATTCGGGCAGAATCAATGGTGAGCAAGGCGGATCTGATGTAGATGTGAAGGCTCAGATCGGCAAAGCAAGAGTAGCATTTTTACAATTGAAGAATATCTACAACTCAAAACAACTATCAACAAACACCAAAGTCATCATTTTCAATAGACATATCAATACACTTCTACTATATGGGGCGGAAATTCGGAGAACTACCAACGCCATCATCCGCAAGATGCAAGTGTTGATTAACAGTTGTTTACGCAGAATAATCCTCATCCGTTGGCCAGATACCATCAGCAATAACCAGCTGTGGGAGAGAACGAACCAGATTCCGTCGGAGGTAGAAATCAATAAGAAGTGCTGGAGGTGGATAGGATACATATTGAGAAAAACATACAAATGCGTCACAATAAAACCCCTCACTTGCAGCCATCAAGGCCAAAGGAAAAAAAGAAGACCGAGAAACACATTACGTCGAGAGACGGAGACAGAAGTGAAAAGAATGAAGAACAGTCGGGTAGAACTGGGAAGTCTGGCCCAGGAAAGAGTATATTGGAGAATGCTGGACGGCGGCCTATGCTCCATTTCGGGCAGCAGGTGTAGGTAATCATGTAAGTAAGAAAAACGCAACACAATCAAAAATATCCACCTAATTTGTAAATGTTCTTACGATTACACGTAGTGATACTTTCATCCTATCGTTTGTAGTATATACTAATATATCGAGTTCATATGCCTCGTCATATTGAGTTGGCTCACTCGCCTTCTTCACTTCGCTTCACTTCGCTTCGCTTTTCCGGTGTTTTATCCTCATGTCTGTCTGAGTGAACGATCTCATGAAATAAACTAGTCCAACGGAATCTGTGTTTAACTCCTTAATACCACCGTCACACAAAAGAAAAACAAATCGATAGTCACATTGAAGAACAATTAAATTGATGATTTCAAATGTGTAAAAACACAAACCTCCAAAAACTCTGCCCCAAAATATCGTAACAGTGCTCACTAGTGACTAGCTTCGTGAGGAAATTCTCTGAGTTCTAGTTGAGAGAAGACGTGACCAATGGAGTTCAACCCTCTGTCGGGTGTAGGCAGTAACCAAATACCAAAGACAAATGGGTGAGGTCACGCAAAAATCCCTTGATCAGTCAGAGTTAGACATTAACACCGTTGGATACCAGCCGGCACAGTGGTCCGATGGTTAGGCGTTCGAGCACAATACCAAAGGTCTCGGGTTCGAATCCCGCGAGGTGCAGGAGTCGTGGATGCGCATACCAGGACGAAACGGCCGTCTTTCAGAGTGCTTCCAGGTTTCTAATGGTGCTCTGTCTAACTACAATGATTGATTGATTGATTGATTTCAAATGTGTAAAAACACACACAAACCTTCAAAAAAAAAACTCTGCCCCAACAATTAAATCTACATTTAAAATAAAAATATACTACTCAATTATTATCCTTCTTTATAGGTTATTGTATTACAAACTACAACATCTCATCAATATCATTAAAATATCTGTACAGAAATCAATAAATTATCAAGAAGACTATTGAACTAACTGTTCACATATTAAAATATGAAAATAATTCTTCCCCAATTGCTTTTTTTCGTTCATTCATTCATTCATTCATTCCAATTTGACATGTTCATTGTGAGGTATGATGAGTTTGAATTTACTGAAAATACTCATAAATATCATTTGAAATAAATCGATCAGTTTTTGGTAATATACAACATCACATAAATTGTGTAAAATCCACATAAAAACTTTATAAGTAATATATAATCCACTAATTATTAATAATAGTACACTAATTATTGTACAAATTAATCCGAAAGTAATTGAATCATCTTGTCGGATCAATAGACTATGTTGTAAATTGAACATTGAAATAATTGTTCTATTATATTGTTGAATCATATACAATTGAATTTCATCTTTAAATAAATATATATGTAATATGACAATAGCACTGAAAGTGAATAATGCGAATTCTTTCGTTGAATAATGCATTGAATTGACTGACTAATAGATGATAGATACAATGTCGAGATAATAACGTTCATTTTAAATTGAACTCCGTTTTTATTGATTAAAAATATTCAACTGTTTTGTAAAGTTCATTTTGATTGGTCAATGAAACAAGGATGTTCAACCAATCAGTTTGCAGAGTTTAGTTATGTGTAACAAACAGTATGATTTGAAGTTGAGTGCAACAACCAGGTAATTTTTATTACAACAAATCAATGTTTTGTTGCTTATTGAAAAAATGATACGTCTTTAATGGTCTCGTGTGTTAAACAGTTGATTATTTATTATAGTCTGAGCATATAAATAGCATTTAAATAATCTGCTATAGAATTCGATGTAGTTTGTACCGATGGAGATCATGTATTTAAAAACACTATCATGTGTAAGTTTTCTTTTGATCTCTTTTCGGTCATCTTACGTTTGACTTATTGTATAGAAAGGTGACATACTTTGATTGATACTCGAAATTTACATTACGGGGTTGTTGTGAAGATTGTTAAGTTGCACATTTTTGAAACCATGAATATCGATCAATGTTAGACCATCATTAGAAACCTATAACTTAACAATCTTCACAACAATCCCGTAATGCAAATTACCTGTGCTCACTAGTGACTAGCTTCTTCGTGAGCAGTCTGCTCCGAGTTTTAGTGGGAAGATGTGACCAGTGAAATTCAACTTGTTCGGGTGTAGAGAGTAACCACTACCGAAGACTGTGTATGAGGTTGCACAACTCCGTGAAATGGTCAAGTTAGTCATTAACATCGTTAGATACCGGCTCAGTGGTCTAACGATTAGGGCGTTCGCGCACAATACCAAAAGGTCCTGGGTTCGGATCCTGCTGCGTGCAGGAGTCGTGGATGCGCACTGCTGAGGAGTCCCATAACAGGATGAAACGACTGTCCAGTGCTTCCAGGTTTCTAATGGTGGTCTAACATTGATCGATTTATGGTTTCAAAAACGTGCAACTCGAAATTTACATTAGGCAGCCATTTCGTCCTGATATGGGATGACTCCTGCTACTCACAGGATTCGAAACTTAGACCTTCGATCGTGCACGTGAACGCCTAACTTCTGAACCACTGAGCCAGCATCCAACGAAGTTATTGTTTAAATCTGATCAATCTAAGGATTTTTGCGCAACCTCACCCATTGTCTTTGGTAGTTACTGCATACACTCGACAAGATTGAACTTCATTAATCATGGCTTCTAACCAGAACTTGGAGAAGCTTCCTCATGCAGCTAGTGACTAGTGAGCACATTTTCTGATTTTTTTTTCATGGTAGAATTATGGTGATCGTTGTTCTTACACTTTGTAAACTCTTATATATTACTTATTATCCTTTACTGTTCCCAACTATTCTACCTCAAGGTTTTGTGAAAGACGATTTTTCCATGTAGCATCAAATTCTGAAGGTGTTTGGTTATCAGGGTCTGTAGTGAATCGTTTGAATATGTCATGAATATGGTGTAAGATCGACATTTTAAAACTCGCAAGTGTTATCCAATCTGATACTAACCCTATCCATTTGATTCAAATCTTCCTCTCTGTATATCTTCCGATAGAATGAATGATAAGTTATTACCTGAGGATCTATGTAGACATTCACAGGTATAAAAAACTTGCAATACCATATGTGACGAAGCGGTAGTGTTAAGAGCTGAACTAGCCAAAAACTTGTACTCCCTAATATATTTATTCGTGACCAGAAGTTAGATAAATACTTAACGTATTGTTACGCCTGCACGTAAACACCTCAACTGGATATACTTGAACTATTACGAGTTTACCTAGTCGGAAAACGAGAGCGAGGATCCGGCGACACGACATGCTACTCAAATTCGATTATTCCAACCACCATATTGAGTAAAAATAAGAAGACTTGAATGTGAAGTAGAACCTGTATTCTAAAAGCATTCAGAAAGTACGAGGTCCGAGTCCAGAAGAGAATCAGGATCCCGGACTAGGGATCCGGGTCCTGGTCATAAAACGTTGAAGATAATGTGTATTTATACAGTTAACTCGAATAGGAACCAACATTGAAGTCTGTGACATTGACAGTTAAGACGACCAATAGGAAGTAACATTTAAAGTCACATTGATGGTCAGTACAACCAATAAGAAAAGACAATGGAGCACGTGACATCGATATCTAGGACGACCATAAAATTGACCAGTAGGAATTAACCTATAGGAATTGACCAACAACTCTCTTAGGATATTGGATGAATATTCTAACATGTATACAAGCAAAAATTTCATTTATATTCCATATCATTTATTTACATATTTATGTAGTTTAGGTTTGACTTAGTAAAACAAACTTGTTGAAATATTCTTTGTTGCGAAATCCTATATTGTACTAACTCTATTGTTTGGGACTCTAGATCCCCAGAACTCGCTTAATAAATGTCTTAATTTTGGATTTTATTAATGGCCTGGTTAGCTGACCTTTAGATCACATTTCTCACCGGGAAAAAGCCTCGGCTGTGATTGGTTACTGTGTTATTTTGTGACTCTCCCATGGATGTCTCTATGATGTATAAAAAAACACGATTTTTATGCTTAAGATCATTGTATTTACTGGGTATTTGTAGAATACACTTTCTACGACATATCAAGACTTTTTCTACAGTTAGTAAGGTGTTTGGGATGTTAAATTCCCAAAAGTCGCTTGATAAATGCATTATTTTGGTTTTCACGTTTGCCAGCATGGGCTGACCAATTGACCTTGAGATTTCAATTCCCAAAAGGAAAATCCATGACTGTGATTGGCTGCTGTGTATTTTATTTAGTATGCTATTTTCATAACTGTCCCAACGACGTTTCTATGATGTATAAATAAACGAGAGTTGTATGCTTGATTGTAATGTGATTGCTGGGTGTTTGTAGAACACACTTCTACGCTTACAAAGCCTTTTCTACTTCCGCTGGGATTCAAGGTAGCCTACCTGGACGCTGGTAAAAGTCTCGTTCGCGTTTATCGATTAAGGTAAACTCGTAATAGCCTCAAGCATACTTAGTGACGAACATAAGGGTAACGGATCAGAGTAGCCTATCGTGTCACTGGTTCATTGTCACGTTCTCGTTTATCGACTAAGGTGAACTCGTAATAATTTCAAGTCAATCAAGTGACGAGCATAACATATATAATATTGAACAGAGAGAGCCATTATGATTACTTTCGTTATCATGATGTTAGTTTGGCTGTAAATAGTTGGTTTATTAACATATCAGTCAGGGAAGTTCTGTTTTATCCTTGTGAAACTTGAACTCTGTGTACTTAGAACGCTGAGTCAACCTAGAAATTTGTTCATTGTTGTTTCTAAAAGTCGCTGAATTTAGAGATGCGAAAACGTATATTCTTCTTAGGAACTTCCACATTATACTTTAGGCCTGAATGTTGAGGCTAAGCGTAAAAACAGGAGAAATTCAATTACGACATGGTACTGTTGTATCAATGAAAGCTATTTATGTTTGCCTGTTTTATTCAAGGTTCCTGTGTGTTTATTTAGTTTTTCTTGTCAGATACCTTTTGTAATTTGGTTACACACTACTTAATAACAAGTAAGTAGTTCGAGTTGTATTGTTACATTAAACAAAATCCCTCTTTGATTGTAAGACAAAAAAACATAGTTTTAAACGATTATCATTCTATAAACAAAAGAATTTTATCTTTCAGTTTTCTCAGAATAGTAAATACAACTTCAATGCTGTATAATGCTCGAATTTTTCTCTATACCGGCACACAACTCAAGCTTATTTATACAATGATAAAAATGCCCTTAGTGAGAGCCACAAAATAGCGTGGACGAATGACAGTCAAAGATTTTCCAAGTAGGAAATGTAAGCTGAAGGTCAACTAAGCATCTTTTAGAGTGAAGACATAAAAATTCAAAAATTTCAGAATAAATTAAAAAATGAGGACCTTTTCTAAGTGAGTTCTGAGGATCTAACATCCTCAACACTTAGTCAATTATGAACTATGCATACTGGGTAGTCAGTTGACGCTTAAACAGCTATTATAAAAGTTTGAAATTCGTCTCACTTACTTTGTGAAGAATGGTATCGATAAGCACTGATAGGGAAAGCAACGTATCAGAGACAAGAAAATATCGGCGAATGTTTTATATCGTACACAACAAGACCCAGCCAAGCCTAATGATTGTGAGTTATGTAACAAGAAACTATATAGCCTAGATTTCGCACTAATGTATTAACACGGCAAGCATGCGACATCGAGGGATCTGGGATTCTAAACTGCATTACTTGAAATCGCATTCCCAAGACGTTACGAATAAGCTATTCGGGTTGCGACCGACATCCAGTAGGAGTAATAGTATCACCAACGCCGAATAAACAACTGTTTTCATGAGGATTGTGCAGGTGGTTATCGCTTAAAGGTGCTCAGTAAGCTGAAAGGATACCTACTCATGAAAGAAGTAGTTAAGAGTGGTCTTGAAAACTCAATAGTGACGACGGAGCTCAGGAGATAAACACTCGCGGTCGGTCAAACAACCATATCGGCAGTAATTTTTCAACGTGTTGTAACCGTACATTAAAAGGTTTATCATCGTCGACGGGAATCTGTCGAAAACAGTAAGCGCTGTCCTTAAGATTGACTAATACTAGCTCTCTTTTTTCTTTGTAAGAAGGCTACAATCGCAAATCGTCTGTTAAGTAATATCTCACTGCAATTTTTCTATAAAGTCGGTATTGCAACTTCCTCCTCAGACCTCATGCTACCTACATTTCCCAACTGATTACTCTGGCACGGTAACCCTTCAAGTATCTTCTTAATTAAATCAACAAAATCTGCAAACATGATCATCAATTTATATACGATTCATATAAACACCGACTAAACCCTACCCGACTAAGCAGGCGGGAAGGTTACTAATCAGATCACACTTTGTGTTGGTTTTTTGCAGCCCAGGCGAATCGATCACAAATTTGTTAAAATATGTTTATTATTATTATTATACAGGAATTGTGATGCAATGTACACAAAACAGACAACAACATGTCAACCGCAACACACTTACACACACACACACTGACAGTGAACCATACTGGAGGAACAAGGAAAGTATAACACGCAGTTCTCAGTCTTCGTCCGCCACGGTGCGTGCTAGCATCACCGCAAGAGCAGACCCAACAGCAACAACAACTCAAAAATGTGCACATTTCACATTCAAACATACAAAAAACAGAACACACTTTAGTGGTTGGTAGTAGTAGTGAGTGAGTGGAGTGAGTGATGAACTACTACTAATAATCAGTAGTAAATTGACAATATACACAAAAAATAAAGAAGAGAAAACAGAAGAAAAACGGAATGATTATTGTGCACAGAAATCAATAAATCGATGTGAAACCGTTGTTTTTTGTTTATTGGCTTTTCACAATACATAAACAAACACCCACATACTCACCTCCAGACACACATGCACGCACACACACACATACACCTGAGCACACCATACAAGTAGTAGTGCTGGTAAAGTGGAGAGAGAGAGGGAGAGCTGTCTCGTTGTACATAGGTATATTTATAGAAGTGAAGATAGTTTATGAAAACGTACTGAGTGAGTGAGTGGTACACACACACACACATACACATACAGATTGTTGATACAAAAACAGAAAAACACTTCACAAATAGTCAAATTAACAAACATTAACAATCATTGGTAAGTAGTAAAGAATATAGCTGCCGCTGGCCGTCGACGCCACCGCTCCACTTGCTCCTGGTTAGCATATTTATATATATAAATAATTGAATTGGTAAAATGCATTTCATTGTGAAATATAATTTTGATTAGAACAAATTAGAAATATGTGTCTGCGTCTGTGTATGTGTGTTGGCGGGGGGGGGGAGGATTAAGATAATTTGGGTCGTTTTGCACAGATGATTTCAATAGGCGAGCTGGTATTATTTGTGTTGGCAGTAGTTACAGTCAGTTTAGTGATTGTCGTTGTTATATTATTATTACTACTAGTATGCATGATTGACGATGAGGATGATGGCGTTGTCGTCGCATTAGTAGTAGTTACAATGAAAGGTGACGAATGTATTTCAATTGGTCGACCAGTAGTACTACTGATAGAATTAATAGTAGTATTAGTATTAGTAGCGATTGGTGTTATACACGTTCCGGATAATGTGTGCTTTATATTCAATGAACGTGTACTAGTACTACTACTACTACTAGCAGTAGTAGTTGTAGTTACAGGAGTTATGAATGATGTACAATTGGAAAATGATGATTCTACAATTGGTTGTTGATTTGAAACAGCATCACAGAATGTTGTGACACGAACAACTTTACGTACAGGATTAGGCTAATTAATTAATTATTTGTCGAGAGAAAAAAACAGAGAGAAAACGTTCAGATAATATACATTGGAAAAGATGAAATTCATTAGAGAACTCTAACAGAATACGTGCGCACGCAAGCATACACACATATATCCACAGTGATTACTGAGGAAAGAGAACCATCTCAACTGATGAAGTTTCACAACTTCATCTATTGATTTGCCATCCCTACCTAGTACTCGTTTCCTAACGACAGCATCGCTTACTCGGTTTTCCCAGGATACATGAGCAGTGCTTCGGAGACATCTATGATCGAATACCAGTAACCTACGAATATCTTCTACTCTGACTGGCCATGTTTCGCATCCGAATGGTAGAACGGAGCGAACTACTTGCGCAGTACACTCGACCTTTGTTTAGCGAACGGATATCTCGCCTACGCTATAAGTGACGCAAGTTGGCAAAAGCCAATCGAGTGTTCTGTATCCGTGTTAAGATTTCATCAGTCACCAGGCAATCAGCGGTCTACACGCTCAACTACTTCACTCTCTATCACTACTAGTTCAGGTGCCGATACACGCCAATCCTGAAGTAACATTTAGCATTTCGTCGGGGCGAATCGCATCCCGAACATGCTTGCATTGTTGCTTAGGGTAGTCAGAAGACTCTGCATTTTGTCAGTGTCTTCACCGAGTAGAACTGTGTCATCGGCGCAGATGACAAACAACAGTACCCAATTATTAAGTATGAAATTGAATTATGAGGTTCGAAGTCCGCTCGAACTATACTTCGTGATCTGTGAGGCAACCGAAGCAGTAGTAGTAAAGTGGTGTAGCTTATATGATTGAAACACAACACATTGATTATTGTGAAAAGAGGACAGCATACAACTTAACTTCCCTGAGTTTTTTTAGTTTCATCTATACCATAATAGAATAATATTAAACAATGCCCACTTTGACAGGTGATGTTTAACTACTGGTTTAGATAGAAATAGGCTGGAAGTGTAATTTAACAGAAACTTGGTATCCCAATCTATGAAATCACTACCGATATTTGATATTCACTTATCTGGAGAGTCTCATCAGCGCTGATAGCCTGGTGACTGACGAAATCTCAGCTCGGATACAGAAAGCTTGATTGTCTTTTGCCAACCTGTGTCACTTATGACGTAGGCGAGATATCCGTTCGCTAAACAAAGGACGGGTGTACTGTGCAGCAGTTCGCTCCGTTCTCCTATATGGATGCGAAACATGGCCGTTAAGAGTAGAAGATGTGCGTAGGTTACTAGTATTCGATCATAGATGTTTAAGAAGCATTGCTCATATATCATGGGACAACCGAGTAAGCAATGCTGTGGTTAGGAAACGAGTAGTAGGTAAGAATGGCAGATCAATAGATGAAGTGGTGAAACTTCATCAGCTGAACTGGTTGGGACATGTGTTACGTATGCATTAACCACCGACTGCCTCGATGAGCTATGTTTTGTGGTGTAGGATTAGGTGAAGTCATTGACAAGTGGACTTAGCCATGTCGGTGATTGTCGACTACCTGGTTGGGGTCCGCGAGATGATAATAATCGATGGTTAGAGACCCTGAATGACATGGCTCAAAACCGTTTGCAATGGCGCCGGTGCATTTATTCTTTGTGTTCTCTCAAATCCTAATCTTCTGGATTCTTCAACTCCTTAAGTTTTGACTTTCTAAACTTTTCTCACTGAATCATACTTCTTGAATAATATCTTCTAATTCTTACCTCTCCGATTACTTTTAATACCTCTCCTTTCTTTATCACTATGTGATTTGATTTGACATTTGCGTCTCTGTGTGCTAATGTGGTATGGACACATGAACTTATGTACATATGTACGAAGTTCTACGTTGCAACTGACTGACTGACTGTTATTTGATATGAGCTCATCACAATCAAGATACTGGATGAGAACATGGTTCACAAATTTATGTAGCTCAGGTACGGTGGAGTGGATGCGCAATTACTTACTAACTGTAGGGAAACGTACACAACAAATTCCAACTGACAGGATGTTGAATTCTTGAAAAAATTGAGGAGAAAATACAAAAAAACGCTATACAGAATTTGTAGTGTAGAAATTTGAAATTCAGATCAATCAATATCAATTCAATAGATCAATTAATTTCGAAAAGTCATAAACACAAATATACAAATAAGGGTCAAGACTCAGATCCAACACACACACACACACACACACACACACACACACACAAAACACTTTTCAAACTATCACAAGCGCCATTTTATTTGTGTTTCTGTTTCCATTGACTTTTGTCTTTATATGGGCTTTGAACCCTGCTTTCAAATGACCTCAACAATCCTTCCTGTTCATGCATAATCTCTCTCATCTCTCTCTTCCGTTATACAACAATGTCAATTACTTTTGATTATAGAGCATACATCATACATACATGGTCACCAATCTATTACACTGATATAGTTGTTTGTATAAAACAGCTGATAAGAAACCAGCTCTGATGGCAATCAATGTATAGTATTATTATTATTATTATGCTGGTTTTATTTTTAATGGTAACAAACTTCATTCGATGAAAAAAAGAGAGATATTAACGACAGGTTAAAGGTCAGTAGTAACAACCAATCAAAAGATCGAGGTCAACAGGACAATACACAAGCTACAAGTCATACATGGGGGTACATTGGAATAGTTCACTGCTCCACCTGAATTTCATGTTGATGTTCTGGTGGTTTCAGAAGAACAATGAGACCTCTGCGACAAAAACCATGAAGCTCTCAGACAATAAATACTCCACACCATGACGTACGTTAACGATGTTTTACTTATATCAATAACACAATGCTAGGTAAGAATAGCAGATCAATAGATGAAGTAGTGAAACTTCATCAGTTGATGTGGTTGGGATAAATGTTGTGTATGCCCAAACAAAGACTGCCTTGACGAGCGATATTTTGTCGTGTAGCGAGGGGGAGGCTGGGAGTCAGTCAGTCAGTTGCAACGTAGAACTTCGTACGTATGTACCTTAAGTTCATGTTGCCATACCACAATATTAGCACAGAGACGCAAATGTCAAATCAAATCCCATGGTGATATTAGAGATAGTAGAGGTATTAATGGTAATGAAGAATATTAGTAGGGTTTGAAGATATTATTCACGAAGAATGATTCAATGAGATAAGTTTAGAAAGTAAAAACTAGAGGTGGTGAAGAACCCAGAAGATTAGGATTTGAGAGAGCACTACGCATGGATGCACTTGCGCCATTGCAAACGATTCTGAGCCATGTCGCTCAAGGTCTCTAACCTTCGGTGACTATCGTCTCGCGGACCACAACCAGGTTTTCTATACCTACCAACATGACTCAGTTCAGTTGTCAGTGACTTCATGGACTAGTGCCATGTTTTGGTTTGGCCGCCCCTAACTTTCTTCCAACCTACTACTCCTACACTACAAAACAAAGCTCGTCGAGGCAGTCGGTGGTTGGGCATACGCAGGACATGTCCCAACAACCACCTCAACTGATGAAGTTTCATTACTTCATCTATTGATCTGCCATTCTTACCTAGTACCCGTTTCCTAATAACAGCGTTGCTCACTCGGGTGTCCCACGATATACGAACAATGCTTCGAAGACACCTATGATCGAAAACCAATAACCTACGAATATCTTCTACTCTCACTGGCTATGTTTCACAGCCATAAAGTAAGACGGAGCGAACTGGTGCGCAGTACACTCGTCCTTTATTCAGCAAACGGATATCTCGCCTACGCCATAAGTGACGCAGGTTGGCAAAAGCCAATCGAGCCTCCTGTATCAACCATATTACACGCCTCTGTTGCTGCTAGCAACAACCTACTGTAGCACAGAACAAACCAGATTCCAAATAAAGAAAAGATTAGAGGAAAAACACCATATAAGGGGGGGGGAAGTCGATACTAGCGGCGCACATATTGTGTGAATCACTGAACTGACTGACAAGCCAAGGCATAAGGTAAAGTCAACAACTCCAAACGAAAAGAGACAAACGAAAGAACACAATGCACAGGAAATC